CTGCTTTGGGGTTGACAGTACAAATCCTTACCACTAAGCCATCAGTTGTTGTTATGTACTGTTGAGTTGGAGCTGACCAAAGGCTGACTCTCCAGTAGCTTTTCAGTAGCAGCAAATCTAAGGGGAAAATATTGCCCATCCTTTTCCCCTTGAAGCATCAGATAGATTCTAACTTCATACCTTTAGGATTGTAGCACAGCTTCTTACCATTAAGTCATCACAGCTCCCCAAACATGAGGCCAGCTAGATGCCCAGGATAACAGCTTAGGCTACCCAAATTCATAAACTATTAGTATTAATCAAGTCTCCAAATTGCACAAAAAAAATTTTAAAAATATAAATGTCCCCTGAAAATTTTAATAGGTACGACTTGCTAAAAGCTATCTTTCAAAGAGCAGTTTCTTTGCACGTAGTTCACACACTCAAAAGTTTCCTATCACTGGTTGTTCTTTCCTTTATTTATTCTCACAAATTCCAGGCTTCTAGTACTTCATCCTAATTTACACACTGAAAATACCATACATCCTCAAAGAGGAGATAACATATCTATCTGTGAGTCCTAAATCACAATGTGTGGGCCACTCAAGGCTAAGAAGCCTTGTAGTCCAGAACTCGAGTCTGTATCAATACTTGAAAATTAAAAACAGCTGACTTCTGAGTCACTTAACAATAGTTAGTCAATACCCTGACAAAATCCTTTGGCACCTATCAGCAAATTAATAAATGATTGTTTTGGAATTAACTGGATGAGAGCTGCATGTTTTAATTTATTGTGCTCTAATCAACACATTGCTAAAGGCTGGTTAACTTTCTTGAAGTGCTACCTCATCCTTTCTCATGGAACTAAGTTGGATTCTCTGCCCAAGAGACACCAAAGACAGCAGTCATAAATCAGTAGAAAAAAATAACTTCTTTTTATTTACAAAAAACAAAAAAAATCCAAATATTGGATGCTGTAAACAAAATTCACAATCTGTTCCCTCTAGCATTGATTCAAATATGTCAGTTTTTAAGTCTCTTTTCCATCAATGTGACATAGTCTCTAGTCAGAGTATTCCAAGAGTGACCAGGTGCAGCTTGCTGCAAAAGGACATCTCAAAGCAAGCAATGGCTTTGGTGCTGGAGGGAGAGATAGCCAGCTCGCCCAGTGCCAGGGCTCCCTCCATCAGCCAGGCTTTGCAGCAAGTTGGCCAAGTTACCTTGACATCTTCAGACTTTGTATCTTTACCATTTATTTTGTTAGCAAGCCACTGTTACAATAAAATATTACAGAGATTCCTCCGTAGCACTGGAAAGGCTATGCTAAAAGAAATCTTGAAAGATTATAATTCAATAGATGCTATACAGGAATTTTTTTTCTTTTTGGTTTCATCTAACACACTTCATCTTCAACAAGAACAACAAAAGCTTATTTTTGAACTGCTGACAGCTTTCAACATATTTCATTTACAAAATAGCTCACGATATTCATATAACAAGCACTGACTTAAGAACTTGATGCACAGTAAAGCAACCAACAAGAAGCAAACAGAAAGGGATGGTAATGACAGCATGTTATCTTTTCACTTCCTTCTGGGCTTGGATTGTAGTATTCTTCCATCCTGGCATTTTTAATTTTTTTTTTTTAGCTATATTAAAACAGTCTTAACAACGGCAGCAGAGACTTCATTCCATTTCTAGAAGGGGAAAACTCCAACCTTGCTTAGTAGAATTCTTGAGGCAGCTGGAGATACTGCAGACAAAGTAAACTTTTCACAAGGACATCGTCATCAGGTCAATGATGTATGCCATGCCGGGGTAGACAAGTGAAAAGAGCCTCCGGAAGAGAAAGTGTCTTCCTGTTTTGAAGTAACAATACCAAACTCCAAGGCCAATTCTGATTCCAATTCATAGCAACCCTTTAGGACAGACAATCCCCACTGGGATTCTAAGTCTGTCACTCTTTCAGGAAGCAGCTCCATACTTCTCCCTTGATGTGCTTGAACCAGGAGCCTTTTGGTTAGCTGTTTAGCACTTTAACCACTGTGCCACCAGGGTTCTTTAAGTAACAGCACACCAGGTCAGGAAAATAAAAGCAAGGAAATCACAGGCACCAATTGGGAGTTGAAAGCTTTTTCCCCCCCCTCTGACCTATACACATGGCTCTCTCTCACCACACATTCAAAGTTTTAGGCTACATAGCCACAAAGACAGACACAGATTCCGCTGTTTATTCAACTACATATGCACAAGACTATAATACATAAAAAAAGAGAAATAAATTATATAGGTCTTAAAGTAAATGCTTAATGTTGTCTCGAGTACAGCCTGTTCTGATCGCCAGGTGCTGGCACTTAGAAATACGCTACCAACCCCGGAGTAAGCAAGAAAAGAACATAAATATTTGAGAAAATAAATGGAAATAATATTTTAAAATAAGGCTCCTCCAACAAAAGTCTGTGTCATAAATTAACAGCAGGTTATTCCTATGGCAGAACTAGATAGCTCCAGATGCTTGAAAATAGTGGACAATTCAGTAAAGATGAAAAAAAAAAAAACAAACAAAAAAACAACCCAACCAAAAAACACCAAAAACAAATCCGATACTAGAATACCAGCTATACCTGTGTTCTTTAGTTTTCTGCAGAAAATTTCCAAATAACTAATGAGGCAGAGCGCTGGATTCTTACAGATGAGTGTCAGGCTTAAATTTGCAAAAAAAGTTTCCTGGGAACTCAAAATTAATTTTTCAAACTCAGGGCTTCAGCAAGGGAGACTGAGCCAAGAAAGGAGTAGGAAGAGTTCATGAGGAAACTGTGTGCAGTGTAGGAGCTGTTACAACTCTGACAGAATTCACAGGGAGGTTGCAAATGCAAACCCATCAAGTTCCCATTAAAGCTTCATAGAAAGAAGCACCCAAGGTAGACCAGATGGATTAGCCTAGGATTGTGCATTTGCCCAACGCTCATTTAGATAAGAAACAAAACTATTATACTGCCAACAGGATTATGTGATTTTTCTTCCCCTATTCCTCCTTAATTGATGACAAAATATTACGGTTGAATATTCTGGTAAATTACCAAAATAAAACAACCACCTACTAGTTGGTGGAGATTACACAGTTGACAAAGAAGGGGAAGGCTAATTTCTTTTTTCTAAAAAAGTGTTTTCAGAGACCAATGTCCAGAGTAATTAAAGGCTAGGAGAAGTGCTGGTTTTAGGATTAGTTATCATTGAACTGAAATAATAATGCTAGTTTTTTCACAAAGGTTTAACTATTCTCTTGGGAAAGAAAATAAATTGGATTTGTTTTAATGCAAAGTGATTTAAAGTACAGTACTAAGCATTCATATGCAGTATGACAACCAGATCAAAGATGTTTTCTTTCCATGAATTTATAAAATTTTATATATAATATATATTTCATATATAAACTTTAAGCAATTGTGCAAATACTCTTTAAAAAGGATCATTTCACATTTTTTTTAAATTCTAGTGGTCCTGGAATACAGAGCACATTCATTTAAAAATTCATTTAAATAATAGTAAGTAGTGTTCAAATCACCAGAAGAAATAGTTTTGAGTAGTAAGGGATTAAAATTGCCTATCACTGATCCATTGGATTATATACCATGGAGTATAAGCAAATATTTTTTAAAAAAGTTCAGCCCGTCAAAAGACAAATATAAAAAAAAAGTGTTCTGCCAAACAAATATTCTTCCATTTGCAGAAATCTATGGCTCACCCCTAAAAAAGGGAAAAAAAGTGAGGGGAGGGGAAGGGAGAATTTCATTAAAACTACAATCTGTTCTTCCTATCAAATATATTACTTGTTTTTCTCCATTTAAATTTTTAGAAGTGGGTTTTAAGTCATCATTGCAATGTGCCCACGTCCCATGTCATCCTGTTGAAAACATAAAAGGCACACAGTATTTAAACCTCTCCTCTTTGCTATATTATTCTAAAACATGGTCAACATATTGTGTATATGTACCCATATTAAATAAATATGTATACATATACACATAACATACATACATACACGTCCCTATGATACCAATGTTTAATACAAGTATCTGCCAAGAGAAAAATAGGACATTTCCTCCACCATTCACAAGCTTGTGTTTTTTTTTTCCTTCTCAAGTCCCTGATAAAATAAAATACATCATTAAACCATAAAATAAATTTTCCACTTCAAATTTTCAGAAGGCAACAGGCACTTTGATGTATACTAGTGTGTAACAAATATAGTAACTCTTTATATATTCTATCTTTTTCTACTTGGGTATTTTTATCTGTTAAATCTTTGGTCCTTGAGCATAACTTTCTTTGCTACAGCTGTTTTTGCTTGCATTTTCACATTTTAAAAATGTGAACTATGCACGCAGCTGGAAATAATGGATTGTATCATCATAAGTTCTGCTGTTTTTGTAAGAACAGCACCAACCTACTACTGTTTATTTGGAGCAAGCTGTTTCTGTTAGCAAAATAGGATCATTCAAGAGATAGAACTTGCTAAAAGCCCCAGATATATCTCAGTGTTGGAGTCCCCCCTCCTTCCTGAATTGTTCATATCAGAACTCCTGAATTGATAAGTTACTGTGGGTAAGGCCTTTCTTCTGTATTTTCTCTTTTGTGACTTAGATCTTAAAAGAAACTTTCCATTTTCCCCATATGGGAAAGCTATGGGAGCAGGTATTGACAGCAAACCCATATTGTCACCATGCATTTTTCCCTTGTTATTTTAGAAGAACCTGGTTTCTTTTAATGGCAGGTCTCTTATATCCCAGGGTAGAATCCAATTGAGTGAGAAGATGAGCTGGGAAGATTGGGGAGGAGGGTTATTTCTAGATGACGCCTCCCATATCTATTGAAAAACTTCTAACGTTTGCCAACTTAAATCCAGGAGTAGATCATCATTGCACAAAATATATCCCTAATCAGGGCTGGGTCTCTCTCTTTTTTCTTTTTTATCCCTCTTGTCTGAAATGGCTTCCCCACTAGATATTTTTAAATCATCTCTAATTACAGGGTAGCCAAGTAGAGTAGGTCTGTTGCTGGCATGTGAACACTGGCTGAACCTGTGCAATGTAATAATTGCTAAAGTTGGCATCTGCCACATAAGGGGCTGGCTGGTAATAGCAAGTGACATTGGCCACATTAGGGATGACGTTTTGGTCAGCTAGCACTCGGATAGCCAACATTGTGATAAGGTTTAAAGTCTGTCTTCTTTCATGTCCCATCAGGCACACTGTACTCTCGTTGACCACTCCGTGAAGGGTCATGAGATAGTCATACTTGCGGTCTTCTAAGCCCACAAAATGGTTCTGCAAATAGGACTCCAGTTTTCTCTGCTGCTCACCAATGTCTGAGAAGTCGATGAAAAACCTTGAGCACATGTACCTCTGAAGGCTCTTGATCTCCTCAGAGGCAGGTCGAAAGCCCCTCACTAGTAGGTTGCAGTACTTGAGCAGGCCTCCTCCTCGGATCTCCTCTGGGTTCCTGGTGGCAATGATCTTGTTACAAAGGTGATCAAAAGCTTCATGGAAATCACCATACACGCTCTCACCAATTATGGTGGGGTGAAATGTTTCAGTCATCGGGTTCTCTGAACATTCATAAAAGAGAAGCAGAGAGTCTAATTTGATTTGAAAAGAATCTACACTGAATTCAAACTGCCTCCGAAGAGAATCGACAAATTTCAGTTCCACATTCTTGCCACTGTTGTTTGACAGAGAGATGAGACTCCATCGGTCAGAATCATTGCATACTTTAACCATTTTCTGCACGTAAGCTTCCTACAATTTAAAAGACAAAACAGGATGATGAGCACAACTCAAAAATAAGCAAATCCCTCCTCTACACAGCTGAGAATTATTTTGCTGTTTCCGCTTTTGTTTTGTCAAGTTTCAGCAAAACACTACCTACAGGCTCAAAGAGTCTGAAAACCCAGGGGAAAATATATTTAACGAGTAGTTTTACTGTCTGGGAAAGAGAGAAGAAGTAATAGTTTGAGGCTTCTGGCAGACATAGCACAGTCCTAAGAGGTTCTGCTGTCATGTCTGATTTTTTTAAGGTTATTTCTTGCCAATGTCTAGCAGGTACAATGCTCAGGCACAATTCCTACCTAACACATTCAAAAGGCACAGAAAAACAGAGAGAGAAAAGTTGGATGGCCTCTCACCCTTCCACCCCCCCGTCCCTAACGCAGCCACTCATGTGTGTCCTTCCAGGAGCACTATCTGCAGTTATAAGCAAGCAGGAACTAAATTAGAACACTCTGGAAGGTAGACTGCTCAGTCAAAGCTAACTAATTGCAAATCGCCTCTTCTATTGAGAAGGGGAGAGGGAAGTGCAGAGAAGGGGGAGAAGAAGACACTGTAACCTTAAGTCAGATCTGCTAGCATTATCCTTAACAGAAGGAGTCAGCTGAATGCAGCCACGGAATTATTCATATTTTCCAACACAATAATACACTCCACTGACTGGCTTCTGCTTCAGGCTCCTGTTTTCTCCAAAGAGCAGATCACAAATGACTCCAAATAATTCCTTACAACATTTCGTTCTGCAATGTACCAGAATTCATTCTGGACAAGACTCCCAACAGGGTAAGTCAAGAGTTAACCAATAAGGAGGAAGAGCAGGGAGGACAGAGGAGGAAGCAGAAGAAGAGTTGTGGTGCTGTGGCACTAAGTAAAGGAGAACACTTCACACCGTTCTGGCATCTTAATTTACCCATGAAAACACAAAAATTAATAGATGTGCCCAGGTGGTTTCGAGAAACAGCCTCCAGCCCAGACCCTCCCAGGCTCCCTTTACCTTGAGCGTCAGTGGTGTAATCTTCTCTTTATTCACCCCTTCGGGTAAGAAGTCCAACAGGCAGTCGAGCACTACGTCCTTGACAGTCTGAAACTCTGCCTCCCCGCGCAGGTCAGCGCAGAAGATGAGGTCGAGGTCCTTGTAGCCCAGGCCGCTGTCCTGGTGCAGGACGTGGCTGGCGGCAGAGCCGTTGAGGCGCACGTCGCGGACGCTGATGCGCTGCTCCGCCAGGCGCCGCCGCACCACCTTCACGATCAGGCTGGGCTGCAGCTCAAGCGTCGGGAAGTTGCCGCGCCCGTGGATCGGGATGGTCTCGCTCAGGATGCCGTCCAGCCGCTGCACTTGCTCCCAGGTCAGCACGTTGCAGTGCGCCGTGGGGCTGTCGCAGTAGTCCACGCAGGGTCCGTCGAAGCCGCCTTCGTCCCCACAGTCACCGCGGCCGCAGTCGCTCCCCGGAATGTAGGGGCCGCTGGCCAGCTCGTCCTCGGCCATTGCAAAGTACCCGTGGCCCTCTGACATGAACTGCCCGCGGAGCGCCACTTGGCCCTGTTCAGTCCTAAAAGGAAAGCAGCCCAAGAAAGCGCGCGGTAAGGAGGAGAGGCGGTGGAAGGCAGGGGCAACCCCAGGCCTAGAACTCCCCTAAAACTCTCCTTCCCCAGGCACCCGCTACCCGCAGCCACGCGCCGCGCCTACAAGGCAATCCCGCACCAAAAGTATCTCTGATGCATCTAGATAGTGCAAGCGGGAATCCCGGGAGTGTCACCTGAGGAGGACGCCCCTTCGAGGAGAGCCCAGCGGAGGAACTGCGAGGCGGCACCCCTGGAGCACTGGCGAGGGAGAGGTGCGCTGCTGCCCAGATGCCTGCCGCCGGCGCTGCCCACTCCCGCCCTCGCCCCGCCCGCGCTGCTGCCACCCCAGCTGTGGTGGTCCCCAAGGTGGCGGCTCCTGCTGACGCCGCCGCCACCGCCTCCGCCACGCGCGCTACTGTCTCCGGAGCCCAGCAGTTGTGTCCGGGAAACGTCTTCAGTACTTTTTTTATAGCAGGCTTTTCTGCGCTTCCGGGGCCCAGAGCAACACGCTCGCCACACCCTCCTCATCTGCATAGGGCCCCGCCCCCTCTGCCCGCCCGCGGGGAGACCCGCACACCGAGACTGCTGGAGCTACGCAGCTCGGCGGAGCCGCTGATCTTCCGAGGCCCCAGGTCGTGTGTGCTATATACATATATCTAATCTATACTTGCTCCCCACCCCCCCCGCCTTTCTTTTCCTGCAGAGAAGGGATACACTTAAAATGTTTCCAAAGTCGTAAGCAGCCATCAAAATTGGATCACAACTAAAACTGTTGAACTGCAAAAACTTCAAGGAAATAAAATCCTCGCGGTGGAGAGCCCGTCACCATGCATTAGTGATGGACTCTTATAGATGCCTCACACCCTCTCGATGGAGCGGAGTATGTGTGCGTACCTAGTGTTACTCCATTCATAAAGCTGGTCTCCAGCGTGGACGAGGCCACGCACGTCACCGGGGGCGCGTGAGGGGAAGGGCTCCCCGATAACTAGGTTTCGATTCTCCAAGGCTCGAGAAACCAGGAGCGCAGAAGCGCAGAGCCGCCCGAAGGAGGACCGGGGCGGCGCCGCAGGGAACGCCGGGCTCCTGCGCTCTTGGGCCGCTGCCAGCCGGTCGGGGCTGCGGCGCGGGCCAGCGCACGTCGCCCTGCAGACCCCAGGCAAGTTGGATGGCCGGGCGGCATAGTGGCCTTTCTCGGGGACGCGGCCTGCCAGCGCGCGCCTTCAGGAGCGCGCATATGCGGGCGCGCGGCCTCCGGGTTCAGGAGGAGCTTTTGAGTCTCTGCGCAGTATAGTGTGCTGTGGCGGAAAACCAAAGGAGGGCAAGCCGTTCATGTTTTCCTATCGCAAATTAAAATAATAATTTGAAAAGTCAGTGATACTCTTTTGCTTTCTTGCGAAAAGAAAAAGTATGAGTTTACACACACAGTCTCCTCCAGCTAGGGAATACCCCAACTTCAGCTACTGCGTCAGGCTTGGGTTTTATCCCAGAATGATTAGAAGAGGATAATGATAATTCACCGAAGAAGCCGTGCTCGCAGCACTTCCTTTTTTCTCCTTTTGCTAGAAAGTTACCCCCTTCCCCCACCCTTTTGCCACTGGAGATCCTTTTAGGTCTCTCACTAGCTTTTTCCAAACTAAGATCAAGCTTTCACTTCAGGCTGTGGTAGGCTGAGGTGCAGAGGTGGGGACCTGGAGGAGCGTGCAAGGGAAGCTGAATACGCCTTCCCAAGGTTCTGCGCAGCCCCAATCACCCAGCTTGGCATGAGGCACTGTCTGCCCCTGTTTGAACTGGGGGAGCCACGGCCTCCCCACCAAAGTGTACAGTGGTGGGGGCACCCGTTGAGCATCCAGCTGCAAGACAAGGCCGCCCCCTGCCGGTGCCCTATGAATCTGTGTCCCAAAGCTGAGAAACCCGGTAAAACCTGCACAACTTATCCTATGGCCTCCCTACTCTGAGTTCTGGGGAAGGAGACTAAGACCACAGCTCAACTTTCATAGGCCCATCTTCCCCTTTACATTATATCGATATATTTCACCTCCATCTAGCAATCCGTGTGTGTCCGTCCTTCCATTCATCCTATTTAACATTTTAAAAGAAAAGGGCTTTTGATTGCGTATTAAGTGCCAGATATGAAGCTAAATGCTTTGTATTAATGCGTTCTATAATTCTTTAAGTGTCACATTCTAGTAAGCATAACATAATTATGGTTCAATTGTAATTGTGTAAGGAAAGCACAGATCGATCGTCAACTAACAGTTTATCTGTCAGCCTGGAACGAAGACTTGAAGAAATTTGTCATGAGAAGTGAATGCTGAAAGAATGCACTTAGCTTCAAAACTTGAGGAAGGAAGAGGCCAGGCATTATCAAGAATATAGAATTTAAAAATTAAAAATAGTCGAGGCAGTATGTATACAGACACTGTGGTAAAGATTGATGTTAACTGTTTTTTGGTCAGGTTTGTAGGGGTTTCAGAAATAATCCTGGATCTAGCTTGGTTTAACTCATTGGGCTCACCAATTTGGGAGTTATTATTTGTCACAAGGACTGGGGAAAAAAAAACTGAGATGTTAAGAGATTTGTCCAAAGCCCATAGCTAGTAAATGACAAGACCAAGCTTTTGAGTTCAGCTCATGTTTTTGTGTTTGATGTTTAACCCTGAATGCTAGAGACATGATATCTGCAGTTACTAGTACGTTCTGTATGGAAAAACAAAAATCCACTGCCACTGACTCAATTCTGACTCATAGTGACATTCCTCTCCTAAAGAGCAGCTGGTGGATTTGAACTGTTAATCTTTATGTTAGCAACACAATACACTTCCACACTACCCTTCCAGAGCTCTCTTATGAAAGTACTTACTTACGTACTGGAAGGTAAGTACAATTAGCAGAATGTTTAATTTAAAAATTGAATTAAAAAATCTGTTAAAAAATTTTTCTTTAAGTGGCCAATGTAAGTTATACCACTTGTTAAAATTATGCCAAAAGGTAAATCATATATTAGATGTACTGTATTAAAAGACTCTGACTCCAGCTCTTAGCATATTTCGTTAGAATATTTTGCTTTGTGTTTTCAAGCTGCCCTTTGAAATCTTCTGCTCAGCTTTTTTCCTTTGGCATCTTTCCTTTGTTTTGGCTTCTTGGCACTCTAATACAATTTTCATAGTTTCTTTAGACATCCATCTTTGGGGTTTTCTCCTTTCTCTTCTGTCTTTGCAATGACCTTTTGCACTCTTCATGGGTGATATCCTTGATGTCCTCCTGCACCTCCTCTGGTCTTTGATCATTGTTGTTCAGTGATTCAAACCTGTAAAGATGATTTTTAAATTCAAGTATGATAAATTCAAGGTCTTATCCTGAGCAAATAATTTGTGAAGTTATTCACTGTAAAGAGGAATGTAGCATCGGGATCTGAGGATAAATCATCCACAACCTGTGTTGATGACACAACTTTGCTTGCTGGAAATGAGGAGGACTTGAAACACTTGCTGCAGAAGATCAAAGACTATAGCCTTCAGCAGGAAGACAAATGTCCTCACCACTGGGCAAATTGGCAAAATCATGATATATGGAGAAAAGATAGAAGTTGTCAATTATTCTGTCTTACTTGAATGCACAATCAGTGTCCTTGGTACTAACAGTAAGGAAATCATGCTATATTTATTGCATTTAGCAAGTCTGCTGTCAGGGACCTCTCCAAAATACTGAAGAGCAGTGATATAACTATGGAAACGAAGGTGTACTTGATTTATGTCATGTTCTTTTCAGTCATTTGCTATGCATCTTACAGCTGGACAAAGAATAAGGATGGCAAAAGAATTAAAGCATTTGAGTTGTGGTGTTGGAGAAGAATGCTGAATATCCTATTGGCTGCCAAAAGAACAAACATGTGTCTATGGAAAAGTGCAGCCCGAGTGCTCCTTAGAGGCAAAGATGATGAAGCTTTAACTCTCATAGCTTGGGCATATTGCTAGGAGAGGCTTTTCCTTGGAAGAGACATCATGCTTGGAAAAGGTGGAGGGTCTCAAAAGAAAGGAATATCCTCATTGAGATAGATTGACGCAGTGACTGCAGCAATGGTCTCAAATGTATCAGAGACGATGGGTATGGCACAGGACAGGACAGGGTTCAGATCTTGTTGTTCATAGGGTCAACAATAGCACCTAATAAAAACAAAAGCACTAAAGAACATCAAAAGTGTCACCCCCCCCCTTCTATTAGTTTTAGAGTAGTAGTGCTTCAGTGAGAAAATTCTCACTTCTACGTAGGAGACAATGATTTAATTCCTGACCAAATGCACAACCACCACCCGTTATCTCTCAGTGGAAGTGTGTATGTTGAACAAGTTTCAGCACAGCTGCCGAACTAAGTCAGAATAGGAAAAAAGGCCGGGTGATCTACTTCTAAAAATCAACCAGTGAAACTCTGTGGATCACAGGGTCTGGAGATAGCTTAAGCCAGAGAAGTGCTTCATTCAATTTTGCTTAAGTTTACTCATAACTCAAGGACAGATAACAACAGCAGCCATTATTTTGTTCCTTATTTTTTTAAATCTGTTTTATTTTTGTCTTCATTGTTATGTGACCATTGAATCAGAACCAACTCATAGCTGACCCTCGAGTGAATTTTTAGTGAGTGTAAATATCATGGGAGAAGATTGCCTACCTTTCTCCTATGGAGCATCTGGTGGACTTGAACAAACTGTAGTTGTGTCCTTGGAGAAGGACATCATGCATGGAAGGGCAGAAGGTCAGTACAAGAAAAGAAGACCGTTCATGAGATTGACTCAGTGACTGTGGCACTGAGATTAGGTGTATTTGGAGAAAGCAAAAATTCACAGGCAGGCCATTTTTGGGATATAGTTACTCATTGATTAAATTTAGTTTTACAGTTGCAATTGCTTTTCAGACTTTAACTTCTGAGCCTATTTATATAGTCTAATTTACATTTTACCCATTTAAAGAAGAGGTATCTTATACCAATATGATATCATGAATTGATGACGGTTAAAACATTGCAAAATTAAAATATGAAGTTCTAAATCTAGACTGTATTCTGACTACGCAAAACCCTCATTATCTAAATGTCCTAAAGGAAAGCTTTTTACACATTTCTGAGAAAGAAACACTACAATCTTGAGTGACAAATTAAAATAATTA